ACGGAGTTAACTGTAATAGTTACTTTATATTTTGATGAAAATATTCTTTAAGAAAACCCTTATTTCTTTTAATAAAAATGGTAACCACAGTGGTTCCTTCTATAATCACTTAGTTTATACTAGCTATATATAATCTAATATCAAACAGATAGTTAATTATGTGAATCTGCCCTAAGCCCACAACCAAACAAGGAACAGGGAATGAGGCGGAAAGCACACATCCAACTACCTATCAGATATTAATTATATATAACCTTGGTGTATAAACTAAATGTATTATAGAATTAACCACCTAAGGTCCTTTAAGTTATACTGGTTTAATAAAATGGATTAAACCCTTTACTGGGTAAATTTCTAGTCTTGTATACCAAAAGTTCTTATTTGAAAAGTATGTTTTGTACTAGAAAACGGTGCATTGAATTAGTGTCCTATGACCTGGCCCATACATGGTACCCCTTATGATTACTTGGTCTATACTGAACATATATATAGCTAAGATCGGATATATAGTAGGCTGGGTGAATCTGCTCTAAGCCCACAACCAAACAAGGAACAGGAAATGAAGCAGAAAGCACACATCCTACTACCTGTCGGACCCGATTAATATATATCCATGAATGCATACACTAAGGGATCATAAAGTTAGCATTATAGGCCCCTTTCTACTGAATGTACTAGAATCGACTGTTCTGATTGTCGATTGTAAAATGTAAGTTTTCCCTAGTTTATAACTATCTTGTCTCGAAAATAGTTTGCATTAACTTTCAAGTGGAACTGTCACAAAATGAAAGTAATGGGAAAATTATATAAGTACACAGTTGTCTTTTGAATTGACATCCTGTAGTACTGATTACCTTAAAACATGTTTGTTTTATTATGGTCATAATGTGATGAATAGTCCCCATACTATACGCTCTCCCTGCAAGAGATTCTGGGAACCAAACGCGACTTCAGCAAACCTGTTGCTGAGCCGAGAAGTAGGCTCACATTAAAGTTATATGATCATGTATACCCAATTTTACTATCACATTTTGTTTAGAACAATGAGTTAGTGATTCATTAGTATACTTAGATCCTGTAGTTGTTCTTATGTTATAGCATCTTAGTATGTCGTTCTGTTATAGTATCTTAGTATGTTCTCTTTGTTATAGTATATAGTATGTCTCTCTGATGCATTGTATCTACCTCCCTGTTTCTCTTTATAGTATGTTCTCTATATTATCGTGTATTGTATCTACCTCCCTATTTCTCTTTATAGTATGTTCTAGCATCTAGTATGAACTGAACCTCTAAACTATACCCCTTATAGTTACTAGTGTTTTACTTGAACTGTTACTGAAAAGACTCATTTTCCTACTAAGTTATGATTGTACTTTAAAAACGGAGTTTTGTTAAACTATAAAGTAACATAACTTTAAAAGAGTTTTTGAAATGTTTTGTTCACTTATAACAGACATAAGCAATATTTGAAAGATGTTTTATAACAAACATTTACACAATTATCATTGTGTTCAACTTGTATTCCCCCCTTAAAAGCATTTAAAACAGTTAAAAGATTCATTATGGGGGTATGAACTCACCTTATGTGGGTGATTCAAACGAATATGCGCGTAAGGATGATAAGTTCCACGAATGAAGTCCCGAGACACAACGACTCCTAAATGACATATAATGGCATATATTGGCATAAATATAGGGTTTAGAAGCAACCATATGCAACGAAACACCTTTAGGGACTAGGAAACACTTGGACCAAGTGTTAGAATCACATGTGATTCATCTAAGGGGAGTGTACGGCCACAATGAGGAGTGTGCGGCCATGGGTGTACGGCCATGGAGTGTGCGGCCGTACACTCATGGTAATAAGTGCACAAAAGTGTTTTCTAAGGAAAGGGAAGCTTGTGGGACAATTGCTCATCAAGTGTTGAAGCTAGAAATCCACTTTGAAGGCCCTTTAGGGGTGTTTTGAGGGGTGTACGGCCACACATGGGTGTACGGCCGTACACTCCTTATGCTCTTGAAATTCTGGACATTTTTAGGGTGTTAATCTAGTGTTCTTATCAAGTTCTAAGCATAGGGAAGGAGTACTTACGATCTGGAGGCTTGAAAAGGTTCACAATCACCAAGAACAAGTGTGTGTTCTTGGTGTTCTTGGTGAAATGGATGAAGATTTGAAGATCTAGTCAAAAGATGATTTCAAATGGATGAAATCAAAGGGTGTCACTAGGGAAAAAAGGATAACAACAAATCAAAACGGAAGAAAGGCTTACATTCTTGAAGATCGGGTGAAAGGCTCGATGATAGTTGAGAGAGAAATCGATGTTCTTGACTTGGAAACTGAAGAAATGGCTTAAGAATGGAAGGATATCACTCTTATGGAGGGGGTGTACGACCAACATGGGTGTACGGCCGCACACACATGTGTGTATGGCCGCACACTCATGTGTACGGCCGTACACTCCCTCAAATGGGGTGTAGGGCTTGATTTCAAGGCTAGGAACTTACGCGACCTAATCCTATACTCAATGCTTGAATGTACTGAGCTTTGAACCCTTAAACAGACTCTAAACAAGGCTAACTGATAGCAGAAACGAGTCTGACACTCGGTTAAGTTGAATGGCTGAACTTACAAGGAAAATTTTTTCGGGTTGTCACAGAATTTCTGGAAAAAATCTAGCACAATATGCAGACAAAGTGAAAGCACTGACAAAGCACTTCAAAAGCTTTAGGCTAGAGCATGTGCCAAGGTAAAAAAACTAACGTGCAGACGCGCTAATTAAGCTCGCATCATCAAATTTTCCCCATTTAGCCAAGAAAGTGTTGGTAGAATTAGTACAAGAAAAATCAATAGAAGCAAAGCACATAATGTTAATAACAGCAGACACAAATAACTGGAGGAGATCAATAACTGAATACCTAACAGAGGGCAAGCTACTTTCGGACGACAAGGAAGTTAGGAAACTAAGGGTCAAGGCACCATATGTTGTAGTGGAAAAATGAGTATTGTACAAAAAAAGGTACTTAACACCTCGTTTACGTTGTGTAAATGGAAAGGAGGCAGAATACCTCATAAGGGAGATGCACGAAGGAGTGGCCGGAGCACACGAAGGGGCACAAACAAGAATACGCAATATATCGAGGATAGGGTATTATTGGCCGACCTTGTACCAAAATACATAAGGTGTAATCTACAATTGTGAGAAGTGCCAGAATCATGCACCAATCCTAAGAAAATTGGCGACACCAATGATTAGCATCAGTAGCCCCTGTCCTTTCATTCAGTGGGGAATAGACATGGTCGGACCATTCCCAGAGGCACCGGGGAAAGTAAAATTACTAGTAGTAGCAATAGACTATCTCACCAAATGGGTCGAGGCAGAACCATTAGCTATAAATAATAGGCCAAAACATGGTCAGATTCTTTTGGAAAGAAATCATTTGCCGCTTCGGGGTACCACATACACTAATTTCAAACAATGGAACACAGTTTGCAAATAATCCTTTTCGAGAATGGTGCGAAGAACTCAGAATCAATCAAAGATTTACTTTAGTAGCACACCTAGAGGCAAACGGGCAAACCGAGGTCACCAATATGAAAATTGTGCACAGCTTGGCAACAAGACTAAACGAAGCCAAAGGACGATGGGTTGATGAATTACAAAGCCTTTTATGAGCATACCGAACAACAACACGAACGACAACAAAATAAGATACTTATAGTTTAGTTTACGGGTCGGAAGCAGTACTACCACTAGAATTGATTATCCTAACAATTATAATGGCAAATATGGACATGGTCAATAATGATGACAATCTAAGGGGAAACCTATATGTTTCCATGAAACGAAGAAATGTAGATGCAATACGACAAGAACTTTATAAGAAGAAAACATAAAGCTATTATAACCAATGGGTCAAGGGCCATTGTTTCAAGGTAGGCGAGAAGGCGTTACGAAACAATGAGGCCAGTATACAGGAGCCACGGGGAAAATTACGTCCAACATGGGAAGGTCCATACATAATACATGAAGCAGAAAAAGGGATGGATCATATGTCCTACAGACAATGGAATGCGAGACGATACCAAGAATGTGGCATGTCAAAAACCTTAGGAAGTTCTATGTTTGAATATGCTAGGAAAAGCATACCAGTCGGAACAAGAACGAGATGAGTAGAACAAGTTATCATTAGACCCCATATGTACCATGTGGACGATAACACAAACCATGGAAGGTCTAGTCGCTTTATGACAAAATAAGCACATGTTACCCGCTTAGCCTAAGAATACACTTATTCTTCATAACATGTAGCTCGGTCTTCCGACTACACTTGTGTATACATCGAGTATCATTACTCTGATACAAGCTACCTGCTTAGCCTAAGAATACACTTATTATTCACAACATGTAGCTTGGTCCGCCGACTACACTTGTGTATACATCTAGTATCATTACTCCAATACATGCTACCTGCTTAGCCTAAGAATACACTTATTCTTCAAAACATGTAGCTCGATCCACCGACTACACTTAGGTATACATCGAGTATCATTACTCCGATACAAGCTACCTGCTTAGCCTAAGAATACACTTATTCTTCACAATATGTAACTCGGTCCGCTGACTACACTTGTGTATACATCGAGTATCATTACTCCGATACAGGCTACCCGCTTAGCCTAAGAATACACTTATTCTTCAAAACATGTTGCTCGGTCCGCCGACTACACTTGTGTAAACATCGAGTATCATTACTACGACACATGCCACCCGTTTAGACTAATAATACACTAATTCTTCACAACATGTAGCTCGGTCCGTAGAATACACTAATTCTTCACAACATGTACCTTGGCCATAGCGTCTCGGTAACATATTGACAGGTCGACATACATCTCCCCGACCTTCACCAACATCTCTTCACTTGCAAGCTTCATACCCTCGAAAACCCGCAAATTCACCTCCGCATCCAAAAAACGATATTGTAAGGTTAACAACCCGTCAAAAAACTTGAGATCCCGCCCAAGTACGGTAGAAATTTATTTTTTCAGCACGGGCTATAAAGCGACATGCATCGTCCAATTCTTCCTCAAAGAGTACGCAAGAAGGGCACCCATCTACATGAACCAGAAAAATGGCATTAGCGGAAAAAAAATACTATATTAAAACCTAAAACATAGGTGCGAGCACATAAATCATAGGAAAAGTATCTACGTACCAATTGGTTTAAGGGCAACATGATCCAAAGATAAAGGAGAAGCACAACGATGGCCCACCTGGTAAATTTCATGTAAAAACTGCTTAAACTGATCGGGCAAAAGGAGCCGCCTATGCTTCCGATCAGGAGAGCCAATTTCTAGGGGCACCACTCCTACTGAGCTGGAAGAACCAACATGAGAAGAACCAATCACAAGACAAGAAATATCCAGAAGTTGATCAATGGAAAACACATTCGGCCCAAACCCTGGAAGTGTAACGAGAGACTCGGGTATCGAAATCATCGGGTCCACATCTTGGTCCGGAACCACACCATATACTACAATGGACTCGGGAGAAATGTCACCAACCAAATATGATGTCAGCTGAAAGGAGCATTTACCCCAATCTTCAACAATAAATGAGCATAGAGAAAACACCCGAAGACAACATTTATATCAGGAGATTACCCAAGACCAAGGAAAAAAGAAATTATACCAAATCTAGCAAAAGGTTAGACAAACCTGTACGACATACAAATAACACAGGCAGTTGACATCGAGCCTTCCAAAATGGGTTCATATGACACAAAGAAAGGACAATTTCCAGCAGAAATGCTCTTTTCACACATAAATGAGAAAATAAAGGCACAAAAGCACGTAGATCGGCAGACAAAGATACCGAATCATCACCAAGCGGAACACAACAAAGAAAAAAATGGTAGACACAAGCTATGCATATCCACCCAACAAAACTTACTTTTCCAGTTAATATTGGAGCGAGATAAATCTGGGGAAATGGGAAAATGACGACTGCTGAAAGAAAACCAATCACCATACTTCTTTAAGCGGGCCCAATCATGCAAATGGGTCCAACCCAACATATAATAAATGGGACCAGCCGAACATGTAATAAATGGGCCCAACCCAACATATAATAAATGGCCCTAACCCAACATACACATGCAAGAGTCACAAAGACAGCTAACATCCTACATAGTATAGTGAGAAGACGCATCTGTCTCACAAAATCGGCCACACCATAGCTCAAAGCCACGCTACCGGTGCGAAAGCACACCTATCGAATCAAACAAGGTCCAACCTTAGTCTATGCTCTAAAACTGGTACATGACCATAAGTCAACTTAAGATAAAGTCAACACCCAAAGTTAATGATCAAAGTCAATTGTCCAAAGTTTACTTCAGAGGGTCGCCACGTCGTGGCCTAATAAAGACAAAACAGTCGCCTGATACCCCCAACCGCCACGTGGTGGCACCTAATCGCCACGTCGTGGGAACTGGGCCAAAACAACTTAAAGGGTTAATCTATTTTCCATCGATCCAATGATCTCCAAAGCTCATATCTGTTTTTTCCCATGGTCTTAATTGATAAAGTTTACAACTTTATCTATTGAGACATCCCACTAAGCCCATATCTCAATTCTAAGGTCCAAAAGGCAACTTAATGCATGTGATTTAACCAACAAACACTTAATCCATGAAGTCCTCAGTCCACAACTTCCAGAAGGACTTTAGGGACCCTAATGATCCCTAAAAATGCAAAATTTATGGACATGCATACCCCATGCATGTCCTCTCCGAAATTTAGGTAAAAAAACGCAATATAATTTAGAATTCATGCAAGGTTCCCAAAGCACCACCACTTCTTAGATCTATGAGATATAATGCTCTTAGAAAATAGAGAAATCATAAAGTTGCAAACTTTATCTCTTCAATCCATACAAACCACATAAAAAGGACCACAATATGACATAAAACCTAGATCTATAGAGGAAAACATCAAAAGATGGAAACTTGAGGACTTACAAAGAGTCCATAAGATACATATAAGTGAAGGGGAATTTTTTTTGCTGAATCAAGGCACCAACTCTTCTCCTTCTTCCTTCAAAACCACCAAGAACTTGCAAAATGAGCACAAAAGCTTCAAAAGGGTTAAGGTTTGGACAAGGAGTCGTTTAAAGGTGATGGAGACTGAGAGTGGAGGAAACCCTAGCCTTTACTTCCTTTAAATAGGGGTTAAAGTCTGGAAATTATGGTTTGACAAAAATGGTCGCCACGCCGTGACCAACTTAGTGCTACGTCGTGACACCCATTTAAGATGTGCGGTTCCAAACCAATTTGCCACGTTGTGGCCAATCAGGTTTTCACGCATAAATAAAATTCATGAATTTTACATTTACAAATATAAAATAGTATAAAAAAAAGAATTACAAACACAATTTCTAGGATGTTTGAGAGTGCTTTTTATTCTCTAAAGTGTGTTTGAAAAAAACGATTTAAAAAAAAACCACTTATCACTAACTTTTTAAAAGTTCCATATTTTGTTTTGCCAAAAATCCAATTAAATTTAAAAAAAACTCAAACATTATTTTTATTAGTTTAAAAAAAATTTAATAAATTAATAAGTCATATTGTAACAGGTAACATTAAACAACACTCTCAAACGCGACTACATATTTTTTATTATAATTTTATTGCGATATGTTTCAATTTGCTACAAGTTATAACATAATCTTACAAAACCGGTGGAATAAACTGATAACAAATTTAAATGATTATGTAAATTTAATAATAATAAAAAAAACTCATTTTATCATTAATTTGTTAAAAAAAGCATTTTATTTGCCAAAAGATGGAATTGATTTATGAACAAAAGATGGAATTGATTTCAAACGAGAGACGCGGGCAAATGTTATCTTTCAAAATCGCACTCTCATTCTCAATCCCACTAACCAAAACCCTTTCGTTGCCGTTTCTCTTCAAGAACCCTAGAAAAACCCTAAACCCTCTTTTAATTTCAATCAAATCCATGGCTTCTTCATGGACCTGCTCTAAATGCACGTTCATCAATACCGATTCGCTAAAACCCAATTGCCAGATTTGCTCATCCTCACAGTCCCCACCGCCATTTTCGTCGTCATCAAACCAAGAAAAATGGTCTTGCAAAGCTTGCACTTTTTTAAACGTATATAAAGTGTCGAGCTGTGAAATCTGTGGGACTAGGAACTCATCGTTTTCGTCGAATTTGGGGCTTGACGATGAAGAACTGGAGGTGGGTTCCTCCGCTGTTGGCAATGTTTTCTTGCCTCTGTTACAAAGATGTAATAACGCTAAGAGGAAGATTCGCGATGACCCAGTTGAGATTGCTGATAATTCTATCGATTTGAGTGTGTCTCGTGGGCTAAAATCGGCTGATAAAAAGGTGGTTGATTCTGGTGAGTTCAAACTTCAAACTATTGTTGTTTATGATTTTTACTGGTAGGATTTTTATCTATGTAAATGTGTAGTAGCTACTATGGAGTTAATTCCTTGTTATCTCATTTGTTTGTGTTTTCTTTTCATACCATAAAAAAGTAACCACAAAATATTGAAATGTGAAATGACTAAAAGGTCCAAAATTCTGTATTTCCAGATGAAATTCAACCAAAAGTGGATCCAAGTCCAAGGAAGTTGAAGATCTTGAGTTACAATGTTTGGTTTGCAGAAGATATTGAGCTTCGAATAAGAATGAGAGCCATAGGTGACATTATACAATTGCATACCCCAGATGTCATATGTTTGCAGGTATCCTCTTGCCATATAATCTATAAAGGCCAAAGCCCCTTTTTGGGAAATCCTCAAAGCTAAAATGACCTATTTGCCCATTGTCATTGTTACTTACATAGTAGTACTCATATGGTATTTCTTTTGGTCCATAACGTTTGAAGGGTATTATAGGTATTTGATAAAAAAAGAAAATATATCTTGTAGGAAGTCACTCCCGATATATATGCTATCTTTCAAAGATCCAATTGGTGGAAGTCGTATAAATGCTCACTTTCTTTTGAGAAGGCGATCACAAGGCCTTACTTTTGCATGCAGGTTAGCTTCATTCGTATCATATCGCATTTTTGTTTTATATTTTAGTTTAGTTTATTAAATATCAAATTGTCTGTATTACCCTTCACACATATTCTAATAGAATTCACACTTCACAGCTTAGCAAATTACCCGTGAAATCCTTCAATTGTAAGCAATTCAGTTATTCTGCAATGGGAAGAGAGTTATGCATCACAGAAGTTTCCCTCCAAGAAAACAACACCCCTTTAGTAATTGCCACCACCCATCTTGAAAGCCCATGCCCGGGCCCACCAAAGTGGGACCAAATGTACAGCAAAGAACGGGTCAAACAAGCAAATGAAGCCGTTGACTTTCTAAAGTCAAACCCGAACGTCATCTTTTGCGGTGATATGAATTGGGACGATAAATTGGACGGTGAGTTTCCGCTTCCGGATGGATGGAATGACGCGTGGACGGAATTGAATCCTAAAGAAATCGGGTGGACTTATGACACAAAGTCAAACCCCATGTTGACTGCTAATCGGAAACTGCAAAAAAGGCTCGATAGGTTTTTGATTTGTTTGAGGGATTTGAAGGCTGAGAGTGTTGTGATGGTTGGGACTAAACCGATTCCGGATGTGACTTATTTGAAACAGAAGAAAGGCGGAAAGGAATTGGAGCTTCCGGTTTTGCCGAGTGATCATTTCGGTTTGTTGTTGACGATGTCGGCTCGGTGAAAGTGAATGTGAAAAGACTATTTTGTCCTTATGGTTTTTGATGGTATCGTTTCTTTGTTTTTGTGTCGATTAGTAATCTTTGGGTGTCTAGGGTTTTTGTGGATGGATTTTTTTCACGGGTTTTGTGAAAATTTTGATGTGAATACGAATGCGTATTGATATTAGTAGTAATTCGTAACTAAATGTTGTGAAATTATAAAACCAATGACTAATACTTTGTTATCAAAGACAAATAGGAATAGGATAACTAAAAACTTTGTTAATCAATTTAATCAGGAAACAGCGTACCAAAGTACCAAACTTCATAGTGCTTGTTTACCAGATTGCTATATGGACTTGGACTTATCTTATCCGAGTGCAACTCAAACTTGACTCTGATGTAAACCTGAGTTGACACAAGCAAATTGCCCCATTTGGCATTAAACTTGTTAAATGAAATTCCATTTGACAACAAAATGTCTACCATAGTTTGGTAGCCTAATCATAAGTCATACTATGTGTACCTATAAACTAAATATCTTATTTAATAACAATATTTAAAAATGTAATTAGTATGGTTAAAAACTCATCAACTCCATTCAATGTTAGATGTTGAAAGTATATATAACAATTTTTATGCGATGTTAATTAAAACGTATAAATAAAAATTATATAATGTGAAACGTTTGGGTAAATTTGGGTTTGATTTATTAAACTACTGTGATTTGTTATTTTTAAAGAATATTCTAAAGATCTATTGAAAAAAAAAAAACTTTCATTCGTATATATATATTTTTTCAGAATGACGTAAACTTTTTCCTTGTAATTGAAAAAGTATATGTTAAAGATTTAGTTGATGATTAACCTTTTCGCTAATGGGTTTTGTATGAATAGGGAGTTTAATTGTTTTGGGACTAAATGAGTATAATTTTCTACAAGAACCTAACTTTCATTGTAGCGCATTAGATATATGACCACCCCACTACACATAATATGAACACATTTATGAAGAAATTTAGCCGATCAGTTCAATGCTCATCAATGCCTATAAATATCCTTTATCAGTACCACATCAAATTCATCTCAACTGATTATCAAACCCTAATATCCCCTAAACTTGCAACAACATGATGAATCATTCAAAGTTCATAAAGATAGCCATGCTTCTTGCTTTAGTGTTCATGATACAAGCAACTAAAGAAGAATCATTGATCATTGATGATGAAAATCTAGATACTGAAAACATGGAAACCCCAACATCAGAACCAGATCAACAAGTCTTTCTAAGGACTAGTCGTTTTCTTGCCCAGAAACCACAAGCCACCAAAATAACATGTGACAAAAACCCTAGACTTTGTAGGGCAAAAGGAAGTCCAGGACCTGATTGTTGCAAGAAGAAATGTGTTAATGTGATGAGTGACAATATGAATTGTGGGTTATGTGGGAAGAAATGTAAGTATTCAGAAATTTGTTGCAAAGGGAAGTGTGTCAACCCAAGATCGGATAAGAAGCATTGTGGGAGTTGTGGTAACAAGTGCACGAAAGGGAATGTATGCATGCATGGGATGTGTAGCTATGCCACTTAAAATATTAGTATTGTTCTTGTTATAATTTTTTAATTTACATTTATGTTGTATTTATTTATTATCTTGATTTATGTTGTATTTATTTGTTATCTTGATATTATGAATTACGTTTTTCTATGCCCAACTTTGTAATCACTTTATTTGGTATATGAAGATAAGAGTAAACGTGTTTTGATATGTTTATGCCGTGATAAGGCAATATTCTCCAGGAAGAGGAGAATTACAAGTGGGGGGAAACCTCCATACACCCATTGTCATGTTGCCCCTTGGTCTTGACGAAAGTTAAAAATCACTTATAGAATACATTCAGATTATTAGTTTGAAGTCAGAATTAAGATAGAAAAAAAAAAAAAAAAAACAAAAACAAAAGATGATTAACTTATAAAACAAAAAATTTAATTACCAACCTACTTAATTACATGTTATTACTTGATATTTGAACACAACTTTTACCATTTCAAACAATAATGTATTTTTTTTATAATCACAACATGCTTAAAATGACTATGATTCCACATGTTGTCTTATTTGTTGTAGAATTTAGATATAGGTGCTTAAACTTAAGGACGAGCATTTAGATCAGATAACCAGTCTGAAATTGCCTGCGTAACCAAAACCCGTGTAATTGGTTTTGATTCCGGTTCTTAAAGTTTTTAAAAAACGGATTAGAATTAGTGATTCTCTTCTCATTTAAGGTAAATTTTCAGCATGATTGGGCCTTAACCGGGCCTATGTAAAAGAATGTACTAGTATAGTACACTGTCATCGGGCCTATAGTTGATTGTTACTTACAGCTTTTATTGCTTTTATTGATCTTGGCTGGCAACCGATTTGTGTACAAATTTATTTGATGGGACTTATTAATTCATAAAATTGTTAACAAGTTTGTTATTCTAATCAAACAATCTATTTATCTGAATTTAAAATACAAAAACCTCATCGTCTTTATATTTGATATTATAATACAAAAACCGACTTATGTATGTATAATGTGTAAGTATATATACGAATGTGTTTTTTGTTTGTGAAAAAGAATATATAAAAACAATTTTTTATATTTTTTTTCAACCTTACATGAATGAAAATAAAAATGTAAAATGTTGGAAAACAAATTTGTAAAAGAAATATATTTCATAAAAGAAGGATAAGAAATTAACCCAAAATCTGTATTTTGGTGATATTTTGTTTAAGAAAAATTATGTATAATTTTGATTGAATTAGACAACTTATGATGATTACAACAATGTAATTAGTTTTGAAATGAGACGATATTTAAAGTATCAGGTTCAATAGAAAATGACATATAGTTTATTAAACTTACGTAATTTCGACCGCTCTTAGAATATCATATTTCAACAATATAAAGTACGAAAACGTAAAACACTGATTTTGAGATCGAAAATATGTTATGTCAAATATATGTTAGATTGACACAATTTTATATCGTTATGTACTTATGTAGATAAAAATTAGACGGTTTAATAATATATTTAGCTTAATATTGATTATCACGTAACAAATGTTATGATTAGTGGCAGAACTAATCTATTTCCATGGGTAGCACGTTGTCACGGACGCAAGTTCGACATTACTTTTTTGCCCGTGCGGCGTACCGAGGTCCCCCATAAAACCCCGATACCAGCCCTCCCAGATTACGCATGGCAACTGGTTTCGTCCTGTCACAGGCTCATTAGGGAAGCGACACTGGCCCCCGACCAGTTGTATCTCTAGAATGCTACAGTCTCTTTCATTGTCACACATTTCTGCGACTCGGACAGACAACGACGACTAGCATAACAACGCCCTTGATCTAGGACACCCCCTTTTGAACCCAATCTAAGCATTGTCACACATTTCTGCGACCCGGACAGACAACAGCGACTAGTATAACAACACCCTTGATCTAGGAAACCTCCTTTTGAACCCAATCTAAGCTAATCCAGTGGCATGGTCTTCATCTTCTTGGTCGACACGATCACGGGATATTCGGCCCGTGACACTCTCCTGCCGCAAAATTGTCGCACGTCCTTGTGCGATGGATGATGAACTTTTATCCCTTCAAAATGGCCTTCCTTCAGATGCCATGTACGATCACACACCGCAACACTGGATCCCAACCATTATACTTCAAGTCGGAATCCTCGGCAAGTAGCCACCCCCCCGACACTTCCTTCCAGGGAGGCAGAGCATTCATTGGCAAGTCGCCTTTACTTCGCGGCAACCCACCAGCTAGTTTGTACTTCTACGACCATATCGGCATGTCCCTTCGTCGTTTGGATCTGATACCACTTGTCACGAACGTAAGTTCAACATTACTTCTTGCCTATGCGACGTACCAAGGTCCACCATAAACCCCGATACCATCCCTCTTAGATTACACATGCCAACTAGTTTCACCCTGTCGTGGGCTCATCAGGGAAGCAACACTAGCCCACGGCCAGTTGTATCTCTAGAACTCTACGACCCCCTTCATTGTCACACACTTTCGCGACTCATCTAGACAACAACGACTAGCATAACAAGGTCCTGTGGGCTAGGCTGCCCCCTTTTGAACCCAATGACAAGTTAATACCGTGGAATGGTCTTTGTCTTCTCGGTCAACACAATCACGGGATATCGCCTCACGACACTCTTTTACCGCAAAATTGTCACACGTCTTTGTGCGATGGAAGAGGAACTTTTATCCCTTCAAAATAGCCTTCCTTCAGATGCCAAGTACGCTCGCACACTGCAACACTGGATCCCAACCCTTGTATTTCAAGTCGGAATCCTTGGCATGTGGCCACCCCTTGATACTTCCCTCCAGGGAGGCAGAGCATTCAGTGATAGGTCGCCCTTTACTTCGCAGCAACCCACCAGCTAGCTTGTACTTCTACAAACCCCACGAAAATGTGCGACCATACCGGCATGTCCCTTCATCAACCAGATCTGATACCACTTGTCGCGGACTGATGTTCAGTATTACTTCTTGCCCGTGCGGTGTACCGAGGTCCCCCATAAAATTATGATACCAACCCTCCCAGATTACACATACTAACTGGTTTCGCCCTGCCATGGGCTCATCAAGGAAGTGGCACTAGCCCCCTTCATTGTCACACATTTCCACGACTCGGCCAGACAACAATGAATAGCATACCAACGCCCTTGAGCTAGGACGCCCCCTTTTGAACCCAATATAAGCTAATCCAATGGCATGGCCTTCATCTTCTTGGCCATCACGACCACAGACGCAAGTTTAACATTACTTCTTGTGTGTGCGGTATACCGAGGTCCTCCCCATAAAACCCTGATACCAACCCTCCCTAATAACGCATGCCAACTAGTTTCCCTCTGCCTTGGGCTCATCGGGGAAGCAACACTAGCCCCCGACCAGTTGTATCTCTAGAACGCTACAACCCCCTTCATTGTCACAAACTTCCGCGACTCGGACATACAACAACGACTAGCATAAGAACGTCACTTAGGCTAGGACGCCCCCTTTTAAACCCAATGATAAGCTAATCCAGTGGCATGGTCTTTGTCTTCTCGGTCAATACAGTCACGGGATATCGGCCCGTGATACTCTCCCACCATAAAATTATCGTACATCCTCGTGCGATGGAAGAGGACTTTTGTCCCTTCTAGATGGCCTTCCTTCAGATGCCAAGTACGATCGCACACCGCAACACTGGATCCCAACCCTTGTACTTCAAGTCGAATCCTTGGCATGTGGTCATCCCTGATACTTCCTTCCAGGGAGGCAGAGCATTCATCGACATGTCTCCCTTTACTTCGTGAAAATCCACCAGCTAGTTTGTCCTTCTACGAACCCCATGAAAATGTATGACCATATTGGTACGTCCTTTCGTCGTTTGGCTCTGATACCACTTGTCACGGACGCAAGTTCAACATTACTTTTTGCCCGTGCGGCGTACCGAGGTCCCCCTTAAAACCTCTATATCAGCCCTCCCAGATAACACATGTCAACTGGTTTCGCCCTGCCATGGGCTCGACTCATCACGGAAGCGACATTAGCCCCCAACCACTTGTATCTCTAGAACGTTACGACCCTCTTCATTGTCACACACTTCCGCGACTTGGCCATACAACAACGTCCCTTGGGCTAGGACGTCCATTTTTGAACCCAATGACAATCTAATACAGTGGCATAGTCTTCGTCTTCTCGGTCAACACGATCATGGGATATCTGCCCGTGACTACGTGCTACCCTTTGTTTTCTTCCCACAGGTATTAGATATTTTGGGATTTTCTTTATTTATATATATAGACTTAATAAAAAGTCATAATATCTAAATTTTAGTTCATTAAAATCCCACTAAATAAATTAAGTAGCCACAGGGCCATTCTTCTATTTCCCTTTGTTAATATTCATGATACAGGTGCTATTAAAAACTTTGTTTAGTTCATAGAGAGTAGTACCAATTTTCTCTTTTGTTCGAAATTATAATTATATTTGTAAATATGCAATTTACCATATACCTAAATCCCTATTTACGACATATCTTTTTTTTTTCTCAAATATTTGACATTATTACCAAATGGCTTCTAGCCCAACGGTATCAGGTGGTGTCATCCCTTTTTGAGGTCGAGGGTTCAAGTCCCGTTGTGGACATAAGTGAAATTAGGAATTAGTTTAGATGTAGATTATATATTTGTATTTGCCGGTTAAAAATTAGGAATTAGTTTAGATGTAGATTATATATTTGTATTTGCCGGTTAAAAAAAACATTTCCTTACATGCATCGCACGCACACACCACACCAACTCCGTATTGTGGATATTTTATAAACAACTTAATATATTTTTGTAGATTATATACAAAATAAAATTTGGTAAAAACACACTAGCCATGTAAAGGAATCCCTTCATTAAGTTAATCTTCCTTGTTATTATTTTAATTTCATTTCACACCTTATTTTTACAACAGGTAAGAAAATAATCTAACAACCAACCAAAAATTTGAAATAGATAAAAGATAAAAAAAAAATAATAAATAAATAAATAAATAAATAAATAATCCAGGTGAACCAAACCATACTCGCTTAACCCGAAAATTGTTTAATCCAAAATTAATACGGTTCGGTTATCGGTCGGTTTGGTGGCCACAACAAACCAACAAATTTTCCTTTGGTCAACTTTAAAATATAAGACTTTTGCACTATTTTTTATATCTAATGAAATGGTAATTTTTTTTAAAAAGTTATCTTCATATCCTTTATCGAGAATTTTTTTGTGCTGTCTTTTGCAAAAAAATTTGGTCCCGCCTTTGGTTATGAAACAAAATTAAAATAACTTATTTTGATTTATTATAAAAAAACTATTAAACTTAAGCAAAGGACAATTTGAGGCGTGAAAAGGTTTTCGAGAAAAAGTTATGGCCTGTGGAACTGGTTGATTAAGCACGTGAGAACAAAATGAATAAAACATATATATGGAAGACCGAGATTAATTTGATGGAATGAGTTATGGAATCATTGTTAAGTTTATGTTAGATTTTAGAGGGTTCATGGTAAGTTTATGTTAGGTTTTTAGTGGATCCAGTAGGTTCGCTTTACAAACTGAAATTTCTATTTATGTTTGGTTACAATAAATCTAGTCTATGATAATACAAAAAATACACTTACGAATCTAAGCATAGAAACGTAAGTCAAAATATCAGAAGAATTTTGAGTTCGTTAGAAAAAAAGGAGAGCTGAGAAAAATGGTGAGACGGATGAAGAGAAGAGTTATATTTATATTTGACAATTAGGGTTGCGTTTTAGGGTTATCGTATTCTGAATTAGTCAAGTAATCCCGGAATTAATTGCATGATCGATGTTTTCTAAAACTGACGAGATTTGTCAATTTTACCATAATCATCTACTAGAGTTTGAAATTTTTTACTATTATCCTAATTCACATTTCCTAGCAGGGCCACCGCCAGGGGCTCTGCCCCTTGGACCCTACTAGGGGAGCTGCCCCAAATTCATATAAGGGGCGCGATCCCTTTGACCCCCACCATTTTGTCGTGCTAACTTATAATTTGATCTTATATATGCGTGCAAAGTAAAAATTGTAAACTCATTAGCTCACATATTAGCTTTAATTACACAAAATGTTTGATGACAGTAAAATCACCAACGGTTTATTGCTCTGAAATAGTGAAATTAATCATTCTAACATGTTATTTGTTATCTATAAATAGAAAACTGAGTAAATTACATGAATCGTTCCTGATGCAGGTGTCAAAAGGCACGTTTAGTCCCAATTTTCAAAAAGTAACACGGGCCATCCCTTGTTTGTGTAAAACTTACACGCCCTCATATGCAATTTTATTGCGATTTTAGTCCATGTCAGATATAAAATGACCATAATGTCATTTGTGTAAATATTTTCTAATTAATTAATGTTGTTATTATTATTATTATTAGTTTAAAAAAATATATGACCCTAACCCTTTACTAATCTCTCTCTGCTTATCTCTTCACTAAAATAACACCTCCTTAAACCACCATTTCTTCTATGGTCCATCACCATCTTGAGCCACTTGTCAATACGTTCGCCAAAAATCTGCACAACCACCACTGGAAAATGTATACAACCATCGGAAATTTTCACTCATCTCACCCCGCATAGTCACCGGTTTGAAGCTAAAGACCTTCACCATCCTTTCATCGAGCCACCTGATGCACCACCTCCTAATACCACCCATTTCCTAGAAAATAACCACAAACCATCGCATCCTTTACCATCACCACCCTCTTGTACAAACACCAACCGAAAATCTCTATTTCCTTGATGTCTGAATAGATGGAAGCCGCCAATGGTTTCGAAACTCCACCTAGCGTTTCGTACCACCGCCTAGGGTTTCAGATCGGGAAAATGTCATATTAGCCCATCAAACTTTTCGTGTTTGTTTTAAAAGGTCATCCAACTTTTTTTTGCACATTAAGGGAATAACCTCAAAGTTGACCGTTTTAAAAAGTCCTTACACCCTTGATAAACGGTATCCTCATCAAATCATCAATAATTGGTTACGTGGATGCCAACTCACTGCTTACGTGGCAGCTGAGTGTGGTCCACTGTACAAACCTTGGTGCTTAAGGATTGCCACGTCGTCGATGGCCCCAGTATATAAGCAAAGTGATACCCTAATAGATCAATATGCACCACTTTGTTACCCTAATCAGTTTCTATCGGTTGTTCTTCCTTCAACATCGAACACTCTTTAATTCCGATTATTTGCAAACAATGTCTCAAAAAAGCTTCTCCCACAATGGTGGATTACGCGATTCAGATCTAGACATTCCACCGACTGAGTACGAGCTCCTTGCCATGGACACCCAAGTGGAGCTGTAGCAGATGAGACAACAGATGCAGGCGGAAATGGCGGCAATGAGGACTGAGCTTTATGGTATGAAGAACATCTTGAAGGCGATGGTAGCGATTGACATTAGTCTTCTTCCTGGTGTCGTTTTTGGAGTATTCGGTTGTGGTGGGTTTGGTGTTTTCTATTGGAAGTAGTTTTGTGGGTCGATGATGGCGATTTTAGGGTTATTTGGTTATGGATTTTGGGCTTTTCTGTTGGTTTTTGTTCTAGTTGCCATCATCATCGGATAGTATCATGATAGGGTTAAGTATGTAAGTATCGGTGTCATCTTGATGGCTTGAAACCGTTTTTTTTAGGTTTTGGATAGTAGAAAACCCCGTGAATGTTGTAGTTATGTCCACTTTTGTATGAATATTATTTGGAATGTAATGGAAAATGTATGCTACTACGTTCTCATGTTATTTTTTGAAGCAATGGTAGAATGTTAATGAACTCAAGTAACAGGAAAAAGAGTACAATGTTAATGAATTCAATAAACTCAATGAACTTAAGTAACAGGAAAAAAAAAGTACAATGTTAATGAATTCAATGAACTCAATTAACATGAAAAAGTACAATGTTAATGAAATCAATGAACTCAATTAACAGGAAGTATAGTTATAGTAGAATGTTATTTTAGATATTACCTAAATAATTGACATTAGTGAAACTACGGAATTGTCACCCATCAAAGTACAATGTTATTTATAGTAGATAGATGTGAACATACAAAGCACATTGTTTTAATGGAAAATGTCATTAATTTTTGCTTTAAATACACACTTACAAACTTAAAACTAACACATCTAACCATAGTCCATAACCATAAAAATTTTAATCCACGTCCATTGGTTTGGATGAGCTATCTCCTTCACCATTTTTTCCCTCCACCCGTTTTGCTAACTTTTTCTTGATTATCCTCTATGACTTTTTCCTTAGCTTGATTATATGTTGTTGTTGACCCTTCTCTTTTTTTTCAGACCACTTCCACCTTCACCTTCAGCTTGAACCCTCCTCTTTTTCAGACCACTTCCACCTTCACCTTCAGCTTGAACCCTCCTCTTTTTCAGACCACTTCCACCTTCACCTTCAGCTTGACCCTCTTCTTTTTCTGACCACTTGCACTTTCACCTTCAACTTGACCCTTTTCCACACCACTTACCCCTTCATCTTGATCCTTTCCCTTATTCAAACCACTTCCACCTCCATTTTCAGCCTTCTTCTTTTTAACTTGACATTTTGGGGGCCTTGCCACTGCAGTACAAGTTGACTTGTTGTGCCCTTCCTATTTACAAACACCGCATACAATCTTTTTGCCTGACTTTGATACTCTGTGAGATCCACTAACCTCTGTACTACAAGTCCTCCTCTTAACAGTAGGTTTCCCTGACATCTTCCTTTTCAATGGTGGTAATGGTGCTATGTAGTCTGTTGGGGGCCACATTGCACTCTCATTCATACTTCCTATTGAGTACTTGTAGGTGTTCATATATATGCAAGCACGATATAAAGGATCAACAAATGCATCTACATTTATGTTTATATAAGAAATGGCGGCCAATGAATGGACACAACCATACCCATTCAATTGTCTTATCCTACAAGTTCATGTTTTCTTTTCCAAATAAACAGCATATAACTCTCCTAAGTTTCTTGTTTCAAAGGTATTCAGTCCACTAGGAAGCACTTGTCAGTACCTACAAATAAACACAGTTACAATGAGCTACTATGGTTTAAAAAGAATGACAAAGAAGAACAAACCTTTGTTGGATCTTCAATTCATTTATGGCAAGCCTTATGCTAGGACATACATCAAAATGTCCCCATCAACTACCTTTCTGTCTCAAAATACGCATTCTTTGCATTTCATATAATCTAATATCCTCCAACATAGTAATATTTGGCTTCTTCCTAGCATCCAAGATAACATTGTTAAAGATTTCATACAACCCATTCTCAACAGCATCACACCCCTTCTTAATTGAAAAAAATGCTCTGGCCCATGACTTTGGATTCCTTCCCATAAGATGCACATAGGCAGTAGGGCTAATCATTTGATTATTTTTCATTGAAGAATTGAAAAGAGGTTCAGTTGATGCCATACAAGCCTTCTAAAACAATGTCTCATATTGAGCACCAAGATATTTCTTCTTGAAGTTGGACAAAACATGCCTAGCAAATTGTCTATGTTCAACCTCTGGGAATAAATCCTTCACAGCTTCAATTATCCCATGCATTTACATCATAAAGACATTTAGAACTAGATCATATATGAAACACATAAAGCATGGCATAATGAACACAAACATACCTTATGTTGATCTGACATCAATGTATTACCATGCCCACCTTCAAGATACAGATCTTCTTGTAGATTTTCTAGAAACCATTTCCAATTATCTTTATTTTCAACTCAAACCACAGCCCAAGCTATTGGGTATATATATGTAACGCCCTCAGATTCGGGCTAGTCAATTTAGAGATAATAGGGGTCGGAAACGACTTTTCGACAAAAGATTATTTAGAATAAATAATCTTAACCAAGTTGTAGAATATGTCTCAAGGGTTCCGTACATATAAAGAACGCCGAAATCCGAGTTATAACGAAGAAGTTATGGCCCGTCGAAGTTTTACGGCAAAACTGGCACGGCACCGGGAGACGTAAATAGTGAATTTATGATAAAGGACTTTTTAGCCATAGTGATCTAAACAAAAGTTGTAGTATACGTTAAACCGAGAGCGTCCATAAAAAGAACTCCCAAATCTGACTTCGTATGAGGAAGTTATGATTTTTCTAAGATTCGGCTTAGCAGTGCACGGCCCGAAACTCGAATTTTAGTTCGAGCGGTTTTTGGCTTACACAACCTAAATGAGAGTTGAAGATCTCATTAATAGAAACTCAACGGTAAAAAGACAGACGAAAACGGAGTCCGTATGAAGGAGTTACGAATTCTTCGCGGTCATTTAACAGTCTAAAATCCTCCTACTGTTAAATTTAAGATCGGTCGAGAATTAGCCGACGGAGTCTAAATGAAAGTTGTAGATCTTGATTTTACCTACGCGTGGAAAAAAAGAACGTCGAAAACAGAGCTCGTATGCGAGAGTTATGATTTTTCTAAGTCAGGAGGCTGATACGCGAGTTTGGGTGACGTGGCACCACCAGAAAGAGGACACGTGGCACCACCAGAAGGCTGCCACATGCACCAACTCGGCGAGTTTGTGTCAAGACTCGGCGAGTCCATCAGATATTTTCACTATAAATAGAGGTGTCGGGTCTTGCCATTTCTTCACACCTCTCAAGCCTTCTTTCTCTCTCTACACACTCTCTCTAAGCTCCCTAAGCCCCCCCTAAAGTCTAGGTAAACCCCCTAGCACCCGAAGGAAGCCCCGAGGCTCCCGGAGTCCCGAGAAAAGAGCCTTTCGGCTCGGGAACGCTGCTCCAGCGAAGCCCGGTTTTTGAGAAAAACCCGCTGTAAGTGCGCTACGCCTAACCTATCTTTAGTATAGCTTATGTTTTAATATAGTAATATTATTAGGACCTTATAAGGATTATTTGAGCTATTATTATGAGTTATATAGTGTTGTTTAACGCTTATATAATAGTAATAATAGCTAGACTATTAATTAGTCTCGGCGAATAATAGACTAAACTCTAGTGATAATAATACTAGGTTTCGTCGAAGGAAATTATTTTTAAGAAGTGAAGCGTTGTCTGAGTTCGGAATCACCACCTTCTCAAGTGAGTGCATAGTTACTTTCATCTTACACATAGATATGAAGTATTTTATATAAACTACGTGCTATGTGCATATTATCTGAGTACTTGTTGTCTATGCTGGATGAACGATTTTATACATGTTTTAAATGATTTAAACTATATATATATATATATATATATATCTACGATAATATGTTGGGTAAAACATGGGTAGATGTAATAGATGGAATATGAGTTGGATGATGAGTTGAGAGGAGTTATAGACCACGAGGTGAGTGTGAGAGGTGGACGATGTGAGAAGCCTTTCCTAAATGATGGCCCCGTCATCTAGCAGAGTATGGATGACAACCACGGACTATTCTAGACAGTCCAGTGGAACACTAGCAGGCTCGCAACCTGTAGGTGTTGTGAACGATGTGTTCACCCGGTGTACTCTAAACCCTGGCGATCATGCAGACTTGGTGCCTAAACCTTGGCGATCATGCAGACTTGGTGCCAAAACCCTGGCGACTATGCGGACTTAGTGCCTGTTGTTGTATAAACCCTGGCGACTATGCAGACTTAGTGCCAAAACCCTAGCGACTATGCGGACTTAGTGTCTGTTGTATAAATCCTAGCAACTATGCAAACTTAGTGCCTAAATCCCGGTGACGATGGACTTCGTGCCGATTCCTTAGGATGATCCTTAGGAATGAATGAACGAGGAATAGTTGATTCTTAGGGTAGATCCTTAAGAGTAAAGAAGATAATGGGGATGTATAATTGGGTTGATTGTTTGATGTTTAAACATAATAATTATATTATTGTGGGTTGAAAACCCTATGTACTCACCAGGTTTCCCAACCTGACCCACTCCAGCTTATTTCTATCACAGGTGTCGATATGAAGTTACATTACACTGAGAGATTAAAGAGGTGTAGATCACTAGTGATAATGAATGTAAGTTCTGTTTATGCTTATGTTTCTGTATTGACGATGACATCCCAAATGTTTTAAAATGAATAAAAATACATTTCTTCGGAAATGCTTTGATAACGTATTTATCATGTTTTACTGGGAACAAATTCTGCAACATTTTTTATTAAAAGAAGTACTCTGATTTTTATAAAGCATAAACAAAAATCGGTCTTTTCTGGCCGTGAAAACGGGGATGTCACAATATAATTGTTTCCATCCCTCCCAACAACACATAATAACTTACCAGTACACATTCCTTTTAAAAAACACCCATCCAAGTTTATAATCCCTCTACATCCACTTCTCCAACCCCGCTTTAGTGCATAAAAACATATATACATCCTGCTAAAGTAAGTTTTCCCATCTCGCATAGAGTTCACAGATAACTTGACTGTTGACCTTGGATTAGACCTTCTTATCTCCTCACCATAAGACCACAACTTTGCATAATTTTCCACTGTGGTACCTTCAACAAGAGATACTACATGTTTCTTAGATCTCCTACATTGTCCCATACTAACCTCTATGCCAAATTTAGTCTTTACTTCCTATTTTAGCATCCTAACATTGAACTTATGATTCTCAAGAACTTCCCTGGTGAAATGACTACCAATCCATATATAATTAACAATTGACCTTAACTTAAAGTTCCTGGCACAATTATGCTCATTAATAAGGGACTTGATTTGGAATGAGTGCTCCTCACTCATTCATGAAGCCCAAAGCCTAAATGCGCATTCACCATCACAACACTTAACCAATAAACTTTTACTGTCATTTTTTTCATAGTATAGTTAATACCCATTGGCTACAACATAATTACAAAGCTTGAATTTCAATTGTTTATGGTTGATGAACCTCATACCTAGAATTCGCAACTGCTTCTTCCAAGGTATCTCTTCATTAAACATTGTTGGTGATTTTATATCACTAATATTATTTAAGTGTAATGGGGTTAATTTGTTGATCAATGCCACTTTGAAAATTATTGAACAAATTGGTTTGGTGCGGAGTGCACATTTGTTTAATTTTGTCTTTGTTGAAAGTATACTACTATTTAGGGGTGAAGCCCTTAAATTGACGGGGGTCCTGGGGCAGCGCCCCTGGAAGCGGGGTCCAAGGGGCGGCAGCCCCTGGTATGGTCCAAGGGATAGAGCCCCTGGCAGGGTGGAAATTTTTTATATGAGTTATGTTGCTATATAAAAAAGGCCTCAGAAATCCGTATTTTCTTTAAATACACCCGATTTTGTGATCCATTTATAGACCCGATTTTATGTTAGTTTGTGACATTCAATGTGACAGTTTTTGGACAAGAAGTTGTTTTCCTGCCACTACCATATGGTAGTTTTAAGACAGGAAGTTAGTTCCTGTTATATGGTTAATTTCGAAATCATTTTTGGGTACAGATTTCATAACATCTTCTTCATTCTTCATTCTAGAAAACAGTGAGTTTCATCCGATTAGAGATTTTGAGTGTACCCTCAAAATGCTTTAATCTGAAAGTGTTTCACAACTCTCATTGATCCACGTATATCTATACCTCGATATTCTAACAAACATTGGTTTTCCTTTCACATGTGGGACATTGTCATATTCATCATCTTTTGGATTTTCACCTTCTGTGGCATCCTCAGTTCCATTTTCCTGACTTACTTCTTCATAGGTTACTCCTTCCATGTTGCTCTGTTGTGGCCCCATGAACTCAGTTAAGTCATTACCTTCTTCCCTTTCGATTGGCATGTTTGACATAACAGAACAATTGTCCTCAATTTTCATTTTCCTTAGCTACGTGCACAGTAGTACCAAAACGGTCCATGTAAACAAGTAGTTGTACTCCACACCGATAAGCAATGTCTATAAACTCTTGATATCGAAGTTCATTAGAAATCAAGGTTAAACTTTTTGGGATTTCTAAATCAGGTTGACAATAATAAAGCTTCTCACACTTCTCTTGTGTGAATCGTTCAAGAACACCCACAAATTCAGTACAAGACATACCAACAATATCAATATTCTCGAACACATGTTGAATACCATCAGAGTAGCAAAAAGGTTTGTTGATGAACACACCTTGGAAATGAACTTTGATTGAGACGAATATAGCCATCGACACTCGACATGAACTTTGGTGGCAGGTAAGGGTTTTTTTTATGAATGAAGACGATGGGAGTGACACATGAAATAAGCTTATTTAAAACAATTCAAACAAAAGGTAAGTAGACGTGGCCATTTCATTAAATGACATGACACCGACAATTCTTCCGTGGCACGTAAATTACCTTTGAACCCAGTATCAGGTTACATAAAGGTATTTTAAAACAGGAAAATGTAAGTTCATTCCCTTAATGTGCAAAAAGAAAGTTTAATGACCTTTTAAAACAAACACAAAAGGTTTTATGGGCTAATATGAGTTTCATCGTCGCCTGTGCGTTACCTAGGGTCCATCCCTTATGTTTGAAACCCCTAGATATGGGGTGGTGGTTTTCTATGAGAGAGACATGGAGAGAAGAATGTAGAGGATGCAAGTATGAGATCGAAAGAGAGGAAATTGAAGATGATAGTGAAATACAGATTGAGTTACATCCGGTAACCTAGTTTCCAAGGAGTGCAGAAGGAAAATAATGGGAAAATGAAGGGGGTGGGTTAGGGTGCGGTAGGTGAGGGTTTGATGGCGTCGTCAGATGTGTCTTGGAGTGGCCGGAGATGTATGGATTTGTCAGAGTATTAGAGTCGCCCGATATGGGTAGTGATGATGGATATAATATGTACTGAAGAAGAAGGGGGAGAGAGACGAGCTATGAACGTGCTTATAGGCCCATTTCTTTTTTTAAAAGGAAATAATAATTATTTTTGATAATAAACAAATCAATAAATAATTAATAAATAACAAATAAATATAAGATAAATAAATAAGGCAAAATGGTCTTTTTATATTTGGAGAGATGAAGCGTGTAAGTTTTAAAATAATGAGGGACATTCCGAGTTAATTTTTGAAAATAAGGACTGAACGTGTGTTTTGGCACCTACACGATGGATGGTTCGTGTAATTTACTCAAGAAAATTAAAGTAAATTAATTTAGACAAATAAGAAAACTAAATTATAGAAATTAAGTAGATTAAGTTACATATATGTCTAAAGAGTACTATTTTTACTTTTTATAGTATTTTTTCAATCTAACTGGAAGATATTATATTACTATAATTAAAGTAAAATATAATAATTTAAAAGTTTCAAAAACAATTATATTTAGAGAAAAAAAACTCTATCAGAAAAAGGACAGTCTTTGCTAGTAAAAAATCCCGATCAGAAAGTTATTGTAAGAGCCCAAAATTTATAGAAATTTGAATTTGGGTGAATAATTGACCAAAATGACAATTTGGTCATATAGAGGAATTTCATGATTTGAGAAGAGATAAACGGGTTGAGATAAGTTTAAGTCATTTTTATAAAATGGGATAAATGAGTTTAAGAGAAGAAATACAAGAGATGGTGCATTTAGGCCTTAAAGAGAAAAACAAAAATTTTATGCTTTTTGGGTCATGTTTGTGACTTAATAGATTAGGACCCGTAATAAGTCTATCGAAAGTGACTTAATGGATGTAGAATTCATCCCCACCATCGCATGGATACAACGATCATAGAAAACGAGTTTAAAACGAATAATATATATGAGTGTTAGAAGATTGAAAGAAAATTGTCTCAAAGCTGTAATTGAATTAGCTAAGGAGCTGCTGATGGCAGCCACCATGCCGCGGTAAGGTCTTTTTCGCGGCGTGGTTTTCCAGAATGGTGATTTGGACGAAAGCCTCATCATAAGTTGTACTTTTCATCGTGACGTGGTATATAGGTATCACGACGTGGTGGCGAAGATAGGATGATATATGAGAAAGGCATCACAGCTCAGTAAGAGGGAGACCACAACTAAATAGTGGGCACCGCGGTGCGGTAGGCATTATACCGCTACACGGTTTTGCAATCAGGAGACTAAATTAAATCAGTTAAGGGCTCATTCTTGAACTATTTCTTCCTCAATTTGTTTGAGAGTTAAGGTGAGGCGATTTTGGTGCCAAGATTATGCCAAGATGAGCTAGAGATGGTGGATTGCAAGGATTAACATCCTCTTCCTATTTCTCCCTTAGATGAAACATTGAGCTTTAGTGGTGAAAATGCTAGATTGATTAGAATGGTTGAATTTATCAACCTATGTCGTGATTATGATGTTATTGAGAGTGTTTAGAAGCTTTAATCAAGCTTTGGAAGTGATTTCCATAGTGAAATCCATCCATAGAGAGTTAGGGTTTCAGACCCTAACTAATGAGAGGGATGAATTGATGCAATAAAGATTATAGTGTAATGAATTAGGTAGTATGAGATGCTTAATTCATTGGATAAAATAGATTTAGAAGTAAAAGATGATATGTTGAAATTATGACCAATTAAGTAATCATCTTGATATAAAGAGTAGTTAAGCTCTTAATACGATAAGACAAGTTCTAATGAGCTTGATATGTTGTGTGAATAGGCCTTGAGCAAAGAAGATGGATCATGATGCATCAATTGAAGAATGGACCCAAGGGTAGTTAGTCTTCACTAACTAATAAAGTGAGTTATAATTCACTCTCTCACTAGATTATGTATGCGTGCTTATATGTGCTTATGTTATTATGTATGCATGTTTAAATGTTAGTGATATCATGTTAAATACCCAATATATATAAGATATAGATATAATGTGAATGGTATTATTAGATGTAGATGGTATTATGTTGAATACCTACAAGATATTAGATGGAGATAGATTATGATTATATGATTATAATGATGTAAACGAGTGTGTATGTATGTTTAGAGTATGTATGTATGGTTAAATATCGATGGTATTGTGTTAGATAACCATTATAAAATAGATGAAGATAGAGTAATGATGTATGGCTAAATGTCAAAAGAATTGTGATAAATACCTATATGTTAGTAGATTAAGATTTAGATTAAGTACTTAATGAATTAAGTACTAGATTGTTAGTAGAAGATCTCTTAATGAGATTATGAGATAGATTGTTATGTGACATGTGATGTGTCAAATTATGGGTAGACCATAACATTCACATGAAAGATTATAAGAATGTAGAAAGATAATTCCTATGGGAATGAGATTATGTTTCCTTCGGGGATGGAGATAGACGATTCCTTCAGGACTGGAGATAGATGATTCCTTCGGGTATAGAGATAAATGATTCCTTAGGGAATGAGATGATGGTTCCTTCAGGAATGTAGATAAATAATTCTTGTGGGAATAAGATTATGTGGTTGTAGAAGATTGAGAAAGGGTTACATGAATGGAACAAGGTAATAAGTTTCTTTGGAGAAACTTAATATAATCCGTGAGAGATTAAGTATAGAGGATTAACAAGGGATCATTGTAATCCATGAGGGATTCAAAAAAAGAGAAGTTGCCAAAGGATCTGCAAGGGATCAAAGTGAGGGGACTTAGTCCGGATGGTTGTACTCCGATAAGCTAGAATTATGTTGTCCCCTATATAATAGGTGAAGCTATCATAGGTGATTATACCGGTTGGGTATAAGTGAGAATAAAAGGAAAAGACATTAGAATATGAGAATAGAGAGACGTAAGGCAAAAAAAGATGAGATGAGATGAAGAGAGATAGGAGAAAGTATGCCATAAAATCATAAGAGAGTATGAAGTGAGGTAGAAGGGCATAAATAGAGTTGCAGATATAGTAGAACAAGAGGAAATAGATGATGTGAGAAGGAGGGATGAGAGAAGCCGGGAAGAGGATGAGATAGAGTATGAATAAAGCATGAGAAGCCATGAAGATAGAGTATGAGACGAGTATGAGAAGAGATAAGAATGCATGAATTGAGACAGAGTAAGAGTAATGAAAGAAAGAACATAGTAGTAGAGTATGAATACACGAGCACAGATAAAAGTATAACTCACCAGACCTGTGATCTGATGTTGTAGATTCTTTCACGTGTTACAGGTTCAGGTACTAACCATTGTACGAGAGGATGTATGAGCATAAAGACTTGGAGTAGAAGTAGTTTTTATTTTTAGTATACCCTTGTTGCTTTGAATTATGATTATGATTTTATTGTAAACCTGATATTTTCCTAGGATGTAAATGTTTTGAGTTTAGAATTCTGTAAATTTTATAGAAAACTATGATAATCCCTAAGATGTTTTGATGGAAAATTTTGGGTCGTTACATTTATAATAAATATTCATTGTCATATAAAGAGAAAATAAGAGAATACAATATGTTAGATAGAAGTAGAGAATACAATAATATTATAGTAAGATAATATCATCTGCCAAACAGAGAAAAACAATAACATAAATTTTAGATAATACTTATATCAAACAAAGAATGTTACATTAAAATAATAGTAGGATAATAAAATGGGAAAAAACAAAATTACGAAAAAAAAATGTAATTTAAAAAAAAAGATTTGATCATATTTTTTAAAAAAAATCATTGTATTTTACCAGTAAGGTATAAATGACTAGTTTACCGGATCAAATCATAAATATGTAAATTCTTACAAGTTTTTTTTTGTTAAAAAAATAAATCTATACGAAAATATGATTTAAAGAATAGAAAACTATTCGGTATATATAGTATGTATATTTTGGTCTCATAAACAATAAAGTTATGATTTTATTTTTTAAATAGAAAAAAAAACTTGCAGTTATTTACATATTTGAAATTTTATCCTCTAAACAAGTCACAAACCGTTTTCAAATATAGCCAAAATTTAAGGGTTTTTTTTTTGTGTGATTGTATTTTAGTCTCATTCTATTATTATTTTTTGGAATTTTTTTACATTAATCTTACATAATACATCCTGACAAATTCAAACATAAAATATTATCTCACAGGAGAAATGTGTTCTTGAAAAAAATTAAGAGATGGAAGGAGATATGAGGCAAAATAAATGTCTTTTTTACCATCCCACTTTTGGATGGTTAGGAGGGAAAGGGGAAAAATGACGTAAATCCCTCCGTTACATTCCATTTTCTTCCAACTTATGAACACACTTAATTATTTATATTGTCGAGTTTCATATGCTTTTGCTATATGATT